TGGATAACGGTTCTTGATTGTGATTCCATTCAAGCCGCGAAAATCGACACATAACCGAAGTTTACCATTAGCTTTCGGAACGAACAGGACGGGTGCCGCTGCTGGGCTAGTGGAGGGAACTACTTTGCCGGAGGGCAAGTTCTCGTCCAAATACTCCCGGAGTGCCTTATCCTCAGGTGGGGAGAGCGAATAGATTGGTCCCCACGGCGGCTGCTTTCCTTCCATAAGAGGAATGGTATGATCCCATTCAGAGTGATCAGGTAGTCGAGCGGCTCCTTCCTTGGAGAACACGTCGGCATATTCCTGAAACTCCACCGGTATAGCACTAACGAGAGCCTCGTTTACCGATGCTCTTGCCCAAAAGGGGTGTTGCTCGATCGTCATCTGCTTCTTGGGTGACGCCCTCAACAGCCTAATGACCAGCTCTTCTGGGTCTTGATCGTATATGTCTTCGATTGATACGAAGCATCCATGAACTATACAGTTGTTGCTATGGAAGCTGACACTGTTGCGTCCCCAATGGATGGTTGGTTGATGCTCTTTGAGCCATCGATGTGGTATGACGAGGTCCTCTCCTGCAAACGAGCCAACCTCACAGGTGATAGCCCTGTCTAGATGGTTGCCGATGCGGAGGGTAAGGGGTTGAGTGATGTGAGTGCCGGAATTGGGCATAGGGGTACCGTCGGCCTGTCTGATGATGAGAGGCTTTGGTCGTGGTTGAGTGGGTATTTTCGCGCGGTGGATACAGTCCCAGGACATGATCCAGTCCTCTGTGCCACTGTCCAAGAGTGCGTTGAGTGTTGCGACATGTTTGGTACTAGTTGCGGGGTGATCCCAAGAGATCTCGATCTCGAGGCGGGTTTCTTGTGTGTTGGAAGACATGTTTGTATGTTGGTTTGATAAAGGTTTTGTATTGGTTCTGGGTGTGGTTTTCGATGGTTTTCTTTGTTGAGCGCAGGGTGAGGGGGTTTATATAGAGAGTTCGAGTGTTTGATGAAGATCATGGTACAACACTTACGCACCAGGCGTTTCGGGGTGTAACCCCATCCTCAGAGTGTGTGTAAAGAGAATTGAATTTCCGCGCGTATAACGAAACAAATATAGAAAATCTCGTGGCCAACCCATAAAATAACCTTAATACATAAAACCCTTGTTTCCATAACCCAAAGTAGAAAGAAACCCGTAATCGCAACATGAGATACCGAAAAATAGAAATACCCAATCAATTTTGATCTTCCAAAGTTGTAATCCTTGCCCTAAATGCCTCATTCTGGGGGCCCAATTTCCGCTTCTTTTCACCCTCCCTTCCGTGGTCCTTTCCTCCGGAAGGATACCGTTTCCTCTTCAGGTCGGTTAACCTGACCTTACTCGTCGCCACGCAATCTTTCGCGAAGTGGTTATCTCTACCACAACGGAAACACTTTCCTTCCTTTTGCCACTTCTCCTTTTCGTCCTTGGTGACACCTAAGTCATCCGAGGCCTTGGAGTTGTGTGCTGGCGCGCAAAAAGTTTTCCGAGGTGCGGGGTTGCGCGATTTTCGCCGTTCCGATTTTTCCTCACGAGGTTTCACGACATCCTTGCCACGTAAGATCTCTTTCCGGGCCTTCACCTCGTGATCCTTACGTCCGACCTTCCTAACCCAGGCTAGCCATTCCGCGAAATCTCCTGGTTCCTCGATCGCATTCGAGAGGCGTTGTTCCAGCGAGGAGTTTATTCCTGTTAGGATCATGGATTTCATTACGATGGGTCCGACCTTCGCGTCCCATTCCAGATTCTGCATCTCATTGATGTAGTCATCGATCATGCCAGTTTGACGGAGCTTATCCATCTTCTGTTTGGCTTGTTCTTGACTTGTTCGATTGCCGTACTGAATCCGTAATTCGTTTTTGAAATTCTCCCATGTTCCGATGCTGGGGTCTACCGATAGTCGCTCCACGAAGTTTCGCCAGAATTTTGCCGCACTCCCGGTAAGTTCGAGGGATGCCCACAGGATCTTAGTTTGGTCGTCCCACCGGACTTTCCTCTGAAGTTCAATTAAGACTTCCATTTGGTCGATCCAGTGTCGTACGTCTTCGTCGGCTTTTCCGGAGAAGGGGATTTTTGCCTGTTTTGGCGTATCTCCCAGGGTGGCGCGAGGGGGGTGCATGAGGTCTACCTCTTGCTGCCTGTTACGGCGTCTTCGCTCCTCCCGTTTTCTCTGCCTTCGTTCGCGTGCTCGGCGATCGTCCTCTGAATCGGAGGAGCTGGATGAGTCTGAGGGGGATGGGTCTCGTGGTTTTGCGCGGTTTCCGCCGTTGCCGTTATTGCCATCGCCTCCCCTGCCTCCTTGCTCACTTTGCTGGCTTCTTGCTTCGGAGCGAGGGGGTACGGGGGGTTGGTTCCCTGATCCTTCCGGTCTCTCTCCGGAATTGCTAGGGGGGTTCTGAGGGGGTTGGGGGGGTACTACGCCTCCGCCTCCTGAGCCTTCGGGGGCTGTTGCCGTTCTATTGGCTGCTACCCGCATCTGCTCAATTATCTCCTCCAGGTTCTTTTTCGTACCTGCGAACTGGTCTTCCATCGCAGCTTGTCTGTCCCGTTCCATCCTCTCGAGGGCAGCCATAACCTCCGCGGGTATCTGTACTGGGCCATCCTTTGGGAGTTGCTGGACGAAGTTGGTCAACGCGTTTATGTGCTGATCCTGTCGTTCCTGCCTTTCCTGATGTGCCCTAGTTGCTTCGACGATCTGCCCAAGAACCTGACCGAGGTTGCTGGTAGCGGCGGTGGATTCCGCCCGCAGTTGAGCCATGACCTGGTTGAGCTGATTGTCGCGCTCGGCTCTGTCCCCAGCGAACTTGGCGTGGAGGTCCTCGACGATCTTGTTGGTATACTCCTGCTGTTGCCGGGTGAGTTCCCTGAGTATGGGGATATCCCGCACGTGCATGCTGAGTTCCTCGATCCCGCGGCTGAGCTGTTGTACCACGGGGGCCCCTTGTCGCTGGACTTCTTGCCCAATAAGGTCGCCAAAAGGATTCTCCACCCGCCGTTCCTCTACGTCCATGTTGGTGTCCTCGTCGTCGTCCATTACCCGAGGCACCGAGGGCCTCTGAGTAGAGGATCTCTCTCTGATTGGGGTGACGTATGGGGAGAACTCCCGGTGGTCTACCTGCCGCCTCCTCGCCTGCCCATAGGATTCTTCCTGCCTCGTCGATGTGAAGAGGGAGCCTATCGGCACATCTCTCTCTTTCCTGTGGCGCCTCTTCGCCTGGGTTTCTAATATACCTCGATCTCTCAAGGCGATTGAACTCTCCATGTTGTAGTCTTCCTCCGACCGTTGCTGATGAGCCCTTGACATTGCTAAGTTGCTCGAGTTTGAGCTGTGGTTGCCTTATGCACCAGGGTTGAGCAATGAACCAGGGGGCCGGGTGGGCAAGTCCGAAAGATCGTTGGGAGAGAGTGATCTTGATCGGGAAGAGTTCTGGGTAGTTGAGGATTTCGGGGTCGTGTTCTTCGAAAGTAGTGGTAGTTCCTGCTTCCGCGAAGAAACCTGAGTAGTGAAGGTATCCGCAGTATAGATGTTCGGCGCTTCCTCTTCGAACGATGAAGGATGTAGCGCAAAGGTAGTTATTGATGGCTGCGGTTGCTGCTCGGGGGTGCATATAGTACTTTGGTCTTTCTAATAGACTAAGCGCTTATCCTTCTACTGAGAGCACGGTGACTATCCGCCACTAAGCAAAATACTCAGAGTATTGGTTTAAGCGAGTAGCTGTCTTATCGAGACTTCTGGTAGTGTATGCGATAGGTAAAGAGTAAAAGCTAGGGATAAGGTACAATATAGTGTTACATTCCTATAAGCCATACATTTGAAAAAATTACCGCCGATTACAACAGTAACTATGTAAAGCGTACTTAAGAAATATAATCTGGCTTTGCTCTTCAAGTATTTCAAGGATCTCTAGTGTTTCCAGTAGCGTAGAGTAAGTAGTAAATACCTCGCTAAGAAACCCGCCAGGTCCAACTTGCAACTCATCAAACAGATATTACTCAGAAATCGGCGGTCTCTACAGGTCTTAGCGAGTCGCTGTTCTGTAGTCCCCTATTCCTTTCGGATTCTTGACTTGATGGTTGATGATACCCTCAAGTCTTCGCAGAATCAAGCCCTATTTATACATGTTGGGACCTATGCCAAGGCCCGCTTTCTAATACTAACTGATACAACGATAATAGAATAAGATAACGCTCCCGAAGATAACCCAGATAGAAAAGCGCCCCCGCATAGTCCCGTCCTCCATTCTAATTCCGACACGTAACCATGGACCTTGCAATTGCCAGTCATCGGGTTGTACCATACTATTATCCTAGACCTACTTCTCTAAGTAGAACAGCCTACAGCCGTAAGCCCCGCTTACTATTCTATTTTGGGTGAGACACCCAACAGTAAGCGTGCCGTCATAATAGTATGGTCTAGCGTGGTGACACCGCGTGCCCCCACACTACCCGATACCTTTCTATGCTTGCCCTTCCGTTACCCGACCGGCCTTACATCACAACCCGTCACTCGTATTTCTCACTGTCCTAAGCCTGTAGAACAGTGCTTCCGTAGTTCCTGTAACACATTGCACATGAGCTAGGCAACTTTGCGGAGCACAAACGTTCTGCGGGTATACTATAATACCTAACGCTCCTTTACTTCATTCAGAGTTGTGAGAGGGGAGCTTATATCACTCCCCGGCTGGGTACCAACAACCTAACCCCATACAAGGCCAATATTAATATTCCAATTATTACAGCCAGACCAGGAGAGAGAGACTAGACTCCCGCGCTCGTGGTTAGGGCATGCGACCAGCTGCGGGGAAGTAGTGTCCAGTACTGAGTTTAGTAGGAATATAATTTGTGTTTGACTGCGTTTTGGATACTTTTCTTTTTACCACACCCTGGCGGTCGAAAGTTCGCTTTCTGTGGCAGGGGCGCTGATTGGCTCCCCCGGCTAATCACCCCCACACGTCCCCACCAACAACATCAACATGTCCTTCCAACCGCACCTCAACCCTTACTACGGCCGCATCCCCCCCGCCGACACAACCTACCCGCCACAACTCCCCTTCATGCCCACCCTCGACCCGTCCACCGCACAGCTAACCCTTCACACCCCCTTCACCCCCCACACCCTCATCACGCTCACCCCCTCCCGCCACACACACCCCCTCTCCCACCACCCTCCGCCCCGCCGTCACCCCATCCGCACCCTCCCCGCCCGCGCAACCCCCCCTCCACCACATCTCTCTTCGTAACCCACCGCCTCACACGCACCGTCGCCGTCGCGCTCGACCCCACCCGCCCCCCACCGACCCCGCGCGCTACGTGCTAAAATGCTACTACACCACGCCCCACGCGCTCTGGCGCCGCGAACACGAGCTCGACGCGTACACCCACCTGGCATGTCTACAGGGCGGCGAGCTACCGTGGTGCTACGGTGAGTGCGACGCGTCGGGTATGCCGCGTGGGGCGTGCAGTGTGCTGGTTCTCGAGATGGTGTTGCCGGGGACGACGATAAGTGATGTGATGGCGGAGGTTATCGCGCTGCCTATTGCGGTTGGGGACACGGTTGAGGATCGGCAGATGCGGTGGCAGCGGGCGCGGGCGCGGCTAAGGCTGATGGGGCTGCATGGGAGTGCGGTGCGGGCGGTGGATCGGGTGGGGGCGTGTGGCGCGGGGCATAATGGCGTGGGAGGGGGGAAGATGGTGGTGGGTGGGACGGGGAGGGGCGGGGAGGAGGAGGTGGTGGTGTTGGTGGGGTGGGGGAGTGCGATGGTTGTGGGGGTGAGGGGCGGGTGGAGGGGGGATGGGTGGAGTGGGTTGCATGCGGCGTTTTTGGAGGGGGGCGGGGTGGGGGAGGGGTGGGGGTGATGGGGGGGTTCATGTCATATTATAATGTTTATACCCCGCCGGTCCACCGCGTGCGGGTGTTCTCGCTACTGTTAATGCATATATTCTGGAGCGGTTGAATAAAAATATATTCACGTGTAGCCCTCTCTCTCTCTCTCACAGAGTCCTAAACACACAGCCTTCAAATGACCACCGGATTATACCCTCTACATGCTAGCAGGCGCATAGTTGAGCTTCCACTTTAAAGCAGTCTCTAGACTGTCGGTTCATCAATTCTAGCCCCGTTTTCTACCCCGCTCAGCAAAGGAGCTCGGTTCAGCTTGATTTTACCGCTAAAAAAGAGTAAAATCATCTTACGTCGCTTGTTATCAGTAGTAATTGCCCTAACTGTAGGGTTGTAAAGCCTTAGGAAGTTGAAATTGTGTATTTCTGTATGTAAAATGCGCCAAGACTGAACAAAGTGGAACAGTATTATACCCATTTATACCCCAGAAAAGCAAATCTGACTGATCCATGGCAGTCATGCAGCAGAATTGCTAGAAATGGCCCTCTTATTGGCTTATGAAGCCCTATTACAGCCACAATTGTTCCACTTCCGTATGCCATCATATCCCCTTTAAGTGTGTGCGCACCATACAGGGTGTCACGTTAAATACCGAGAACCTTGATTGATTGAATTGATTTCGTACGAGTGCTACAGATGGCAGAAGACGACAACCAGTGATATTTGATGATTTTCGAGCTCACATTCAGCCAAGCCAAATTATTTGTATGTAGGAAAAAAGTCTGAACAATATATTCGGGTAGGCGAATATGGGGTCGCACTCCCGCCAGCAGCAATTACTGTGTCTAGTCTATAGGGTATTCCCCTAATCAAACTATTTAATTTATCTAATTAATATCGTTCCAGGCATTTCTTATGACTTTTAATACTTCTGTGTCCTCCACTCGCCCAACTGTTTCTCCTAACTCAGTCTCTACCCCAACCTATAATGTTTCTATTAAATTAATATCTGATGATTGTTCGGGCCAAGAGATAGTTTCCAGCTCATTGATCTGTCTGCACCTGTTTTGTGAACCTTGCATCGACAGAGCTCCACGTTTACATTAGTATCGCCTGGAATGGCCTAATAAAAAGAATCATTGAGTAAGGAAAGAGTGAGTTATCAGAAGTTTCCGGAGGATTCATTTGTATTAATCAGTGGTTGTCATTTTCTTTACTTATAAGGATTTCCTACCCCTTGTTGTCTACTTTTCATTTCTTCTCTATACAAAATCTTGTTTTATACTTTTGGTTATTACCTTTGGGGACTTACTTTGCTTCAGTATAAACTTTATCCAATGCTACATTATATCTGCTGTTTACCATGACTCTCCTCATCGTAATCCTCATTATCCTGGTCCTCGCTAACTTTGCTGTCCCCTTTCCAGCATTTGCTGCTCTTGCTGTACTCCTTTCAGTCACTCTGATATTAGTTGGACCCGCTGCTTCTATCATTCTAATACGAGCTATTATCTGCACTCTAGTGTATACTGCTGCCTTCATCCTCATGCGAACCCTCCTAATATCGCTCACCCCTTATGCCTATGCCTCGCCCATGATTTTTTACAATCCATTTGTCCCCTCTTTATGCCTAAGGGCATTGTCCTCCATCACCTATATCTACCCATATTCTTCAAAATTAGTATGCTAGGAGAGGATAAAATTTGAATCTGGTATCTGATTCACGTAAACTCTACAGTGGATAGTCACACTATAAGGGGTGAAGACCAGCTCTGTTTTCAAGTTTCCACAGGAAGCACCCCATACCAGCACACCTTTCCTATCTGACTGACAGGTCTCTTCTATACAGTTTTGTTGCTACTCTTTTTGAGCTGTTCTGATTAACCACAGTCTATAGCCAAAGCTTAAAGTATTAAACGTAGCCTCATCTGACCAGTCAGTTTTGTTTCAGTCTTTATATATCTAATGCAGTCTGTCTTGATACCATTTCATCCATTGGAGGAGATTCTGTACTTTTATATACAATATAGTAAATGTGTTAGTAATCCAGCAGTGTATCTAGAGTGAGGATAGTAGGCTTGCTGTTTACGAGGGAGTTTTTTCAGTGTAACCTATGGAAGACATTCAACCTTTTAGAGTATGAGCAGAAGAGGCATATCCCATCTCCTGTATAATACCCCTTCAAAACAGCATTCCTGTTCTTTTATTTCTTGTAACAAACTATTCTCGTCTTTCTTTCCCTACCTTATTGAAGATATGTGATTCACCTTGTCTTCTCCTATTGGTAAGTGTGCCATTTGCTTTTGCCCTTCGATAAATTCCTAGACAGGTCATACCAGAGTCTCTTAAAGTGATGATCCTAAGTCTCTCATCCCTTGTAAGCTCCCTGCCCCATGCCTGATCACCAAAGTTATCAGAACGCCTACCTTTTTGCCTGATAGGCGTCGAACGGGTACTTCACAGCTTTGAACGGGGTCGAACAGGTATTTCACGAGGCCGAACGGGTATTAAAACGGGTTTTACGAGGTTGAACGGGCACTTCACGGTGTTAAAACTGGTCTCACAGCGTCGAACAGTCAAAAGTTCCCAACTAAAACGGAGTTCACAACCTTTTGACGTGACAGTGGCAGTGTCCTGTCTTGGCCCCAATATCAGCGAATCAGCTCTTGCATTTCAGTCTATCAGTAAAAACGGGTTCTTCACAATTACCGTTACCACCCTGTACTTCGGTATCAGGAGTAAGTGAGTAGAACGTGGCGGTTCATATTCGCGAGCAAAACAGGAAAACTACAGCTTTAGCCATGCTGCCCCGTTCTACTCACTTAGCCTTGATACCGAAGTACATAGTAAGATCAACCAGGGTTAGGGTCTTGATATTTATAGGTATTATGAGGGTTAGGGTTATTGTTAGAAAAAGGATCTTACAAAAAGTCTCATCTTGTTTGTGATGTTCAGAACCTCGAGATGGTGTGTTGATATGTTTTATCTCATATTTATCACTATATAGGAGTATGCCGCAGTTCAGTTTGTCATCCGGAACTGGGAGACGTGTTTGAAATTTGGAGTTTACTTGTAACTTTCACCCGTTTAGTTTTGATTGTTGATCGTGAGTAAGTGTAGAGTGTCGATTAGACAAGCGCACCCATACTTTGTACTGCATTAAGGTGACCAGCATATTTGATTCTAGCTGATAGTATAGAAAAACCCAGATCTAAAACGACCTGAAAAGCGCAGAGGACAAAATAAGACGCAAAGCACTGCAACAATTCCACAAAAACATAAAGCAACACATACACCACCCGCTACTTACTCGCCATCCATATCACCATCACCCCTCTCTTCCACCAAGACCATCACCTCCGGCAGCTCACCAACTACACAGCCCCGCCCCCCCACCCGAACATTCTTTGATCTCGCCATACATACAACAATCTTGCTCCTCCGTCCCTATCGTAACACACCCCATGACATTACATTAGCAAAATCTCCATCACTATGCACTGGACACAACTTAAAAAACATACCGCATTCAAACACCCGATTCCTGTAGTCGCCCTCTACTCCGCTCAGGTCGCCGGGGTAGGTCACGGCGCCGCAGCCCCAGCAGTACATGCCCGGCTTGATGCCCTTCGCGCAGCGGCAGTCTTGGTCGCATTGGCGCTTGCCGAGGGCGTCCCCGGGAGCGGGGGTGGGAGTGGCGAGGGTGAGGTGTACGGTCAGGAGGAGGAGGGTCATGGAGAGGAGGGTGGCGGGGTGCATGGTGCGTTGGTGGGTCGGTTTTGGTGTTTTAGGGGTATTTGTGGAGAGATAAGTCGCTTTTTGGTCGTGGAAAGGGCAAAGAGGTGATGGTGAGGAAGAAGATGTTGGGAGGTGGATAGAGTTTAAAAGTGAATGGAGCACGGAAGAGAAATGAAAGAGGAAGAAGACAAGCTTGTATTAAGAATGCCCTCCCCCGAGCTGCTGCCTAGCAGCTGAAAAGGAGAACCTGGGAGGTCCACCTTGGCCGGACGTTATTTTAACTGTGTCCCAGCTGGAGATAAATGTTTTCTAACACCATAATTCCATGGCAGCTGCTTATTTCGTTTCGTTTCGTTTGTCGCAGCTAGTTATTACACATGTAGAAACAAACAAACAAAATCCTACCTCTCGTAGCGCGGCGATTGGTGGTGAGGTCAGATTAGTAGAGCGAGAAGGATGGAGGTAGCAACGACGGGGGGAGGGGGCGGGGCGGGGAACAGGGTTTATATCGATGGTAGGGTTACTTCCGTGGTTTTGACAGGAAGCTTCTTTGATTACCAGTTGATGTGCGGTGCGACGACGGGATTACCCCAGGGCGTTTTGACCTATCAGGGTGCGTAGGGGTTCGCAACGGGCGCGAGCGGTAGGTACGACGAGACTACTGCCTGATTTGGACTTCACATGTGCCTTACAGCGAGAAGTAGATTAGTGACTTTGCACTGGATGCATCCAGCTTCCTTGTAGCTTGGCATTATATTTGGGAGGGTCAAAAATGGAGCCGGGTGTTGCTTGCCACTGATCAGCGTTACCCAGTTTTTGGTGATAGAGAAAGCTCAACCCCAAAGTAAATCGATTATTTTTACCATTAACGCTGTTGCTAAATTCTTGAAGATTTTATAGAAGGTGTATTTGCATAAGAACTTTACCACCAGAAAGTCCCCAGGAAAAAAATATCTCCATTTGGAGTGGAGGTCTCATTTCGCGATTAGCCCTCTCTCTGGGAGTCAAATGCAAGGCTGGATCTATAATTCCTTGGCTAATTAATGCCAAGTCTGTCAAAAAAGACTCCGGATCGCTCAGCGCAAAGTCTCAAATGATTGTGAAAGAAGGACCCCACGGCAGAGTTTGTAATATGGTGGGTTGGGCCAATGGTACAGGCCCCATATTTCGGGGGCGGGCATGAAACCCACAAAAGGCGAGCGACGATACAAAATTCTTTTTACGCTGTGACGCCGCTCTGTCCTACATATTGCCGTATCCTATTGCATTTCCTGGTTCTTTTCCGAGCTGGACTAGGAGTATGTATTTGGCTTTTAATTGCTAAGATGCATGTTGAGCCTCGATCCGAGAGATCCCAAGCGCAGCTTTTAGTTGTCTTCACAATTGGTGGTATTTCAGCGCTGCCAAGCTCGTTATTCACGGAGTTCTGCGATCATCCACACACCACTTGGTTGTACGACGACGGGATTACCCCAGAGCATTACGGCCTATCGGGCTACTATCCCTTGCCGTATGTAGGCACCAAGATACCCCCTCCTGATTTGGTGATGTCGCCGGTGGCGATCTGTGGAATTCTCTCAACGTCTATCAACCACAGCTTTCAGGCCCCCAACAGGCATAGATTGAAGCCTCACCTAATCAACCTGCATTATGAATGAGCTATCACCCATACCCAACCCAATCCAACATATACCCGGCTCCCCATTATATAAATGGATAGGCACAAAACGAAGAGAATTGGCCTCTCGAGGTGATGGGCCAGGGTGGTGGGTTAGGGTTCTGACATGTACCACTTCTATGTGATCATATATTATCACTCGAACAAGAACTACCTAGGTAAATGTTTCCTTGCAGCCAACCCAACCTAAGGTAATTTACCCGGGTTCACCCAAATATGCCCATAAGTCTAAGAATCTCCTGAGCGGTACACTTCACATCTGGTCTGCGCATAAAAAGCACCTCTCCCCCGCCTGGTGCGTGATCTCATGTACGTTTTTTATTTCAGTAGAATATTTAGCGTTTAGCGCATCAACACTTTGTAAAGTTGTGCAACCATGACAAGTAGAGGGAAAGACAGAAGTCCTGAATCGAAATCGGGATGGTGGAGATAGGCACGAGGGGAAAGGTCTCGGGCCTGAAAGAGAGAGTAAAGGAATACATGGCTAACCCCCTGGCCAAGTAGTTTACTAGGAAGAGCATATGAAACGCAGTGTACTGCGATGACTATCCAACAGACCACGCATATTGACCAGTTATTCTCAATAGAAAAAGGGAACACTCTCCGCACTCAGATAGAAGCTTCCCTCCAATCTCTCAGGCGCCGCAACGCCCCTTGGCACCGTCAAAACAATCCGTCGCCCGGCCATAGCTACAGCAAGTACCGGGATTTCCACCTAAGATCGCCCTTCTTATCAGCATTCTATCTAATATAAGAATCAAAGGTATGACTTACCGCACTGGAACACCCAGTCTCTATAGTCGCCTGTACCTCGGCCCGCGCTTCTAACTTCATCACACCCATAACAATAGACGCCGACTGCCCCTTGAGAGCATGTGCAATCATTCTCATAGGGACAAAAGGCAGCCGGTTGCTGGCGCTTCGAGAGGGCAATGAGATCGTCAATAGGGAGGGGCTCCGCCAAGGGGTTTGGGGCAGGATTGGCCGCGGCGAGATGGGCGATGATGAAGAGAAGAGCAACAGGGAGAAAGCTGAGGAGACGCATATTTGACGGTTATGATTTTTTTTTACTTTATGTGTTAATGTGGGATGCGGAGCGAGTTGGTGGTGAGAATTAGGTGGGGGAGAGTAGGACTGTATTTATAGGTTTTGAGGGGAAGTCGGAGAGCGGGAGGATGTGTCAATTGGGGTCAAGTATTGTAGCTACCCTTGGTGAGGTGGAAGCATTGGCTGGGGTGACTCTACTCGCCGAAGGTTCACGATTTTTGATGTCATATTTTCTTTGCACATCTACTCGTACCAACAGATCTCCTCGTATCGCCATTCCACCATTTCCAATAGGCCCACAAAGTGTTGCACCTTTTTACAATGTGGTATGGCCTGGTAGGCCCAGACCTGCTTAGAATCTGGTGCCCCGCAGCCTTGGCAAATTTGGCCAAAGGTTACTGTTTGTGGGAGTTTCTTATTAAAATCTCAACTGTATTATTATATTATCCGACATGGCAGGCAAACATAGGGTGTGTACAGTATGCAGAGCACCAGATTCTGAGCATGTTTCGGTTCACCAGACGATAAATGACCTCACCCATTCCTAACCCAATCCAACCTGCAAATAGATCGAGACAAAATTAAGAAAAACTATTCCAATAGTCGATGAAGGGGTCTTTCGGGCTCGTGGGCTGGGGCGGTGTCTGGGTAGTGGGTTGAGGCGTGGGTTAGGGTTATGCCAAGTATCATTTTTGTGATCATATAGTATCACTCGACCAGGGTTACCAAGGTAAAGGTTTGCTTGCGCGCCACAAAAGATACGTCTAGGATTATTCTGAGTGGTATAGAAAGACCATGCGAAACACAGTGTGTACCGCGATAGCTTCCTAATGGATCACGCTTATTGGCCAGCTATCTACAACAGAAAAAGGCGCTTCCTCCGCACTCAGATAAAAGCTTCTATCCCATTGCTCTCAGTCGCCGCACCGTCCCGTGCCACCGTCCAGACAATCCGTCGCCCGGCCAAAGCTACAGCAGTTATCAAACCTACTGCCTAAATTTTCCCCCTTATCAGCGTTCTATTAGATACTAGTACTTCACGAAGGGTATGCCTTACCGCACTGGAACACCCAGCCTTTGTAGTCGCCTGAACCATGTCCCACGCCTGTGACATAATGGGTGCCATCCCCACGCTTACATCCCCAACAATAGATTCCTGGTTTTGTCCCTGTAAGGCATGTGCAATCATTCTCAGCGGGGCATTTGACAGACTGGCGCTTCTCGAGGGGAATGAGCTCGCCAATAGAGAGGGGCTCCGCGAAGGGGTTTGGGGCAGGCTTGGCCGTGGTGAGATGGGCAATGATGACGAAAAGAGCAACAGGGAGAAAACTGAGGAGACGCATATTGATTACTTATTTATGACTTTATGTACCAATGTGGGATGCAGAGCGAGTTGGTGAGAGTTAAGTGGGAGGATTGGGGCAGTATCGATACATTTCGAGGGGAATTTTGAAGGACGGTCCAATTCTTAGTAGAGGTGTAGGAGCTATCTTTGGTGAGGTATCTGCGGGTCGTCTCGTATCGCTATTGCACCACTCACAATAGGTCCACGAGGTGCTGCACTTTTCTCAAGTATCTTTCAGCCCTCCACCGCCACCCCTCGAGTTCTCCGGTTGACGAACAGTGTTATTAGAGCTAATTGAAATTGGTAGCATGTCACGTCTTGGCGTCTTCTCCCATATTTCTACCTGTTCGCCAAGAGGCAGCTTCGTCGAGTGACGGTTAGTGGCTTTAAAGTGCAACACAGGTGCCGTCAGAGAGGGGTCCTTCTTGGATAATAGCCTGCCAGTTGGCTTTGAGCACTTTCTATGTACACTGTGGTATCGTACTGAACAGTAAACATCTGCTTTAATGAACCGGGCCGAATGAAATCCACCAGTGGGCCGTCCAATATGCAATGTAAGTACTTAGCACAAACGTGAGTCAAGGGTGATAGAGATTTCCCCGTTAAAGAGGATCTCGAACTTCTTCGCCGCTACGGTAGCTCGCCCTCACCCCCCGGGCGCTACCCTACAACAAACAAGGGTCTCTATGACCTGGCAGGCCGACACCGGCTTATAATCTGGTGTTTTAGAGATCCATAGTCTTGGTGGCAAAATTCTCGGTTTATGTAGGATGTTTTGTTGAAAACTCAATTTAATCATCACCGTACATGGCAAGATAAGCGCCAAGTCTATACAATATACACCGCACCAGATTCTAAATATATTTCGTCCTACAATAGTAAATAACGTGTAGAGCCCCCATTCACAACACATTTCTCTTTTCTGAAAAATACTATCCCTTGGACCGATGAAAGTTGTCAAATTCGCGACCACACTCTTTCAGCTATCACTAGCCTGATGTAGTAGTTGTTGGAAATTCTTGATTGGCTCTGTCGTTGTTGCCAACCGTAAAAAGCAAGATAATTCCCTTACTAAGTTGTGCACGGTCCAGGTCGCGAATTTGAGAACTTTCATCCGTCCAAGGGATAGTCTTTGAAACAGTAGAACGCCTCCTCTCAACCTGATTGGCTGATTTAATTCACGGGTTAGGGGCCAGTGGAACTTTATATCTACCTGCCCATAAACGGCTGCCGGTACACTTATTGATTGGATCTGTTCCTGCAAGCGAAGTGACGAATGTCTTTGACCAATAATTAATTTCTGATAGTTGACATGTGGGACTTGCGTCTGAGGTAGCTGGACTGGCGCATGGCGTGGATTGGTAGACCTTAGTCATGAAGTTTTCTCACTCTAGGACAACAACACAGCTCTTTCCCCTCTTTGTGGCGCCGATCACGGCTAGCTGATCGGTAGTGAATACGAGTAGTGCACTTTGTAAATTTTTCAAAAGTGTACCTTTTAGTACCGGACAACAGGAGGGGGTGCCAAGCATGCAATCTGCAGCAACAGCAGCATGAGCGCCTGCGGGCATGGATCCGATCTTATAGAGATCCAGGATCTGCTTGGCTTATTGGGAGTTTAGAAATGGCGAATAGGGGCCAAAGGCCAGTTTTCACGGGGGCGTAAAACAATGTGGAGCGGTGTGGTTGTGTACGGTCATTCATTGGGTGGCGATAGAGCCTGGGCGTTTACGGAGCAAACCAAAAAGAGAAATATAGCGCATGCGCAGTGACCAACACCCCGTGTGTATCATCGTAGTGAACCGTTCAACAGGCGGCAGATATGAGCTTAATTAGAGGGTTTTAGCTAACAGAGAGTCGAGCACTTGGGCAGAAGGTCCTGTACCTACTATTGGCTGAATTCTTGCAAATCTTTGCCTAAACCCGTTAGACATTTTGTTCAAACTGCCTGGCTTTCACTTTAACTGGTGCTAAGATTGCAAAAGGCAGCCATATCATCAAATTTGATGTGGGTTGCTTTACAGTTCTTGAAGCTAGTCTCGTTGCTCACGAGACTCTCAATCTCATAGGATAAATCTCGACCTGAACTGAAAGGCGTTTTGCCTTTTCTAAGTATACTATTTTGTGCTGGGAATGCGATAATAGGTAGAAAACGTGGTCATTATTATCGCCACCACGTAGGATAAAATATACGAAATGGTGCCGGTAAAATATCGTGATGCAATTGGACTGTAAAGTGAACTTATAATGATTTAGAAACCTGTACTTATGAGGAGGGCTTTATTGCTATCTGGGCGAGTAAAGATTCCCTTCTTATTTTAGACCTGCAGTAATTCTGCCACGCATTTCATCATCATCATCATGCAGTACGCTCAACGGTCCTAGGCCGGACGAGACTGATTGACAAAGACTGGGAGTCCGCCGTCCTACTATAGTCGACTACAGACTGTGGACGGATGATGGATTGCATCATGATAACTACTGCATTATGACTACTACAGCAGGGCTCTCAGGGGTGTCCCCTAGGTCGCTTTCTTACTAGGTTGGGGTAGCTCTCAGCCTGGAGCTCGTAGACAATATGTATCACCACTATTGGATAATAGTAAAAAGGTCTTGTCTTGTGCTTCTCACACTGCTGAAGGATTGAGATTAATTCAATCACCGTAATATTATCATAAACAACTTACAAAACCCTTTTGGGTAGTCATGCAGTCCATAGTCCTTGCAGTCCGTCCACTTTTTGGATGGACTGATCCTCCTACAGGACTGTAGTCGACTGCAGTCCTTGTCCTTTTTTTTTTTTTTTTTTTGTTTAATTCATTAATTGCATGCAACCTTACAGTTATGGCAATCTGCAGTCCTTGTCAGTCCATTTCAGTCCGTCGCACACTTTAAATGCCTGGCTTGGCATAGTCGACTGCCAGTCGGACGGGCCTGTTGGCGGCGCTGGTTTCATGTAATATTCTAAAGTCAAGCTTTTACAAAACAAGTACTGTAGGCTGGATACATGCGACTACATCAACACTTGAAAACATTGCTCCCTACTAGTTGGCACTATCTCGGCTGAACGATTGGTAAATATAATCGACATGCATGATCACATGAGCATGTCCTCATAAAGCAATTTTGACTCGGCGCTAGCCAGACAGCTTTCGAGTTTTGCGGTAGACCGCAAGGTATGCAGAATGCAGGGCGTTAGAGAAAGAGTCAAAACATGGGAATGCTGAGGATAAGGGTCCTTTATATGGTAGAACGAAATTTGAAATCGGGTGTGGCCGAAAAATCCATTCACGCAACTGCTCACCGGGAGTGCATCACGGGCTATCACTCGGTTTCCACAAGTTAATCTTGTCGCTTTGAAGCCTGGGATATAGCGCTAAGATCTCCCCCCAGTGCATAGGGAGGCAGTAATAATGGTAGAGTGTACTTCCTCTAGTATCCTACGAAACCGTCATGTCGGGGAAACCTCTGGTCAATCCCTCGCATAGGCACCCGACTACACCTTGTCACCACTCTACCACGTACCACCCACACAGACGTATGCTCTCATTGCATCCTTCCGTAACAAGGTTTACCCAGTCCGAACCACCATTTTCTCACTCCTTTATCTGTAAGATAGATCTAGAATCAAATCCCCTCGACTTAGAGAAAGGTATAGTACCAATGGCTCGGAAACCGCGAGAGAATGATATATTGGTGAGTGATAGACGAATCTTGGCACATGTGCGTTGTACACCTGTTTTGATTCGCCAGTGACATTAACCCATGAAGAGAAACATGTCGTACTAGAGTATCATCTTCGATCTGTGTCGTTATCACTCAATTTCCTTCCCTTCGCCACGATATTCGGAAGATGTGATTACAAACTTCGCGTTGGGAGGTGAAGAGTCTTTTTTTGGCCGGGCTGCGAAAAAGTAACAGGGCTAGCTGTCGACTCAACTCTCGACTGGGAGTTTAATCATGAGATTTGACCCTGCCCCCACTACTTCTAATCAATGCTGAATACCCAAACTGGCTCTTTTTTTTCACAGATCCCTTCCTAAACTTCAGGCTCAAAATTACCTGCTATAAATTCCTCACAGATTTAGCGGTAATGGTAGTCATGGTGGTGTAGATTCTTTCTCTATGGGGTTTCGGCGATTAGTGGCAAATAGTATATATCTCGGCTCCATTGGTGACCACCGGGAACTAGCGCAAATTCAATAATGCCAAGCTTTAAGTGATTCGGAAAAACACAAGCATGATTTTCTGGCTTGGCGAGAATACCCTGGTTTGTACCTTGACATCACGACACGCGGATCAGCCTTATGAGACATTCACGAACCAAAGAGATGAGAACGAACACTTTGAATATAAGTCATAACTACGTAGCATCAAAGTATTGGGATCGATATCTGTAACGTAAAAGCGAACGCCAAAAGCAAGTATTGATCAACGGATCACTATTGGCCAATGAGAGAGGAAGTGTAGGCTAGCGGTCTATGATTAGCTAATTAACTATTTGGCGTCAGGAGATCGAAGAATACGGGGAAATTGACACTTAAGAATTACCAAACACTAATACTACTGCGGGTGAGGCACCCGGATCAGTCACGCATTGGAACCAAATAATCACCCGCGGTAATAGAATCAAATACAAAGCTGTCTCACCACCGCAAGACTTCTTTCCTCATATGGTAGAAGCCACCATGTCCGTTATTAGGCCTTCCTACATATCGATTCCCTAGACTAAACCACGTGCTAAATTATAGATGGACAGGCGAATATCAGCCCTCAGTAAGTGCATAAATAGGCCAGAAAGATTTTCTCTGGCGGATCTTCATCAATGACCAGCTCAATAATTAAAGCCCTTCCTCTGCATAGGTACAGTCCAATATCCCTATAAGGGTACCTCTTATAAGGGTAATCGCCTTATAAGGGTATGGATTCTGGGGCTATAATCGCCTTCGTAGGCACAAATTCACCCTGTGTATAAGGGTACACGGCCTATACGGGTAC